AAAATTTGTGAGTTTTGTAACTTTGAACTTCTATTTTGGTTTTTATAATAAAATGCGTGTGTTTTTATAACTTAGAACTTTTGTTATGATTTCTATAGTGAAATTGTGGAGTTTTTTAACTTAAAACTTTGATCATAGTCTTTATAGTGAAATTGGTGAGTTTTTTTTACTTTGAACTTTTGTTATGATTTTTATAGTGAAATAGATGAGTTTTTTTTTTTAACTTGGAACCTTTGTTATGCTTTTTCTAGTAAAATTTGCGAGCTTTTCAACTTGGAAGTTTTGTTAGGGTTTTTAGACTTACATTTGTTAGTTTTTTTATTCACTTTGAACTTTTGTTATGGTTTTATAGTGATATTGGTGAGTTTTTTTAACTTCGAACTTTTGTTATGCTTTTTATAGTTAAATTTGTGAATTTTTTAACTTTGAACTTTTACTATGGATTTTAGAGTGAATTTGATGAGTTTACACTTTGAACTCTAGATATGATATTTTTAATGAAATTAGTGAGTTTTTTTTTTAACTTTTATCTTTTGTTATGGTTTTATAGTGAAATTCATGAGGTTTTAACATTTAACTTTTGTTATTGTTTTTAAAGTGAAATTAGTGAGTTTTTTAAACTTTGAACTTCTGTTTTGGTTTTCAATGTAGAATGCGTGAGTTTTTTTAACTTGTAACTTTTGTTATGTTTTTTTTAGTGAAATTGTTGAGTTTTTTGACTTGAAACTTTTGTCATGGTCTTTATAATGAATTGAGTTTTTTTAACTTGAAACTTTTGTTATGGTCTTTATAGTTAAATTTGAGAGTATTTTTTTTACTTTAAACTTTTGTAATGGACTTTATAGTGGAATTGGTAAGTTTTTAAACTTGGAACTTTGTTTATGCTTTTGTTATGGATTTTAGAGTGAAATTTGTGAGTTTTTACGCTTTAAACTTTTGTTATGGGTTTTATAGTGAAATTAATGAATTTTTAAACCTTGAAATATAGTCTCTATAGTGGAATTGGTGAGTTTTTTAATTGAACTTTTGTTATGGTCTTGGTGAGTTTTTTAAATTCGAACTTTTGTTATGCTTTTTATAGTCAAATTTGTGAGTTTTTTACTTTTAACTTTTGTTATGGTTTTATAGTGAAATTGATGAGTTTTTAACTTGAAAGTTTTGTTATTGTTTTTAAAGAGAAATTAGTAAGTTTTTTAACTTTGATTTTCTCTTTTGGTATTTATAATGAAATGCGTGCATTTTTATAGTGAAATTGGTGAGTTTTTTTACTATTAATTTTTTTTAATGGTTTTTATAGTAAAATTGGTGAGATTTTTAACTTCGAGCTTTTGTTATGCTTTTTATAGTAAAATTTGTGAGTTTTATTACATGGAAGTTTTGCTATGGATTTTAGAGTGAAATTTGTGAGTTTTTACACTTTGAGATTTTGATGTGGTCTTTATAGTAAAATTGGTGAATTTTTTAACTTTTAACCTTTGTTATCGTTTTATAATGAAATTGATGAGTTTTTAACTTGGAACTTTTGTTATTATTTTTAAAGGCAAATTAGTGTGTTTTTTAAAATTGAACTTCTGTTTTGGTTTTTATAATGAAATGCTTGAGTTTTTTTAACTTGAAACTTTAGTTATGGTTTTTATAGTGAAATTGTTGAGTTTTTCAAATTGAAACTTTTGTCATGTTCTTTAGAATGAAATTGGTAACTTTTTTAACTTCGAACTTTTTTAATGCTTTTTTATAGTAAATTTTGCGAGTTTTTTAACTTTTGCTGTAGATTTTAGAGTGAAATTGGTGAGTTTTTAAGCTTTGAGGTTTTTATATGGTCTTTGTAGTGAAATATGTGAGTTTTTTTAACTTTTATGTTTTATTATGGTTTTATAGTGAAATTTACTTGTTTTTAACCAGGAACTTTTTATATAGTTTTTATAGTAAAATTGATGAGTTTTTTAACTTTAAATTTTTGTTTTGATTTTTATAATGAAATGTGTGAGTTTTTTAATTCGGAATTTTTGTTATAGTCTTTATAGTGAAATTGATGAGTTTTTATTTTATTTTTATTTTGAACTTTTGTTATGATCTTTATAGTGAAATTGGTGAGTATTTTTAACTTTGGAACCTTTATTATGTTTTTTCTAGTAAAACTTGTGAGTTTTTAAAATTGGAAGTTTTGTTATGGCTTTTATAGTGAAATTGTTGAGTTTTTTGTTTTCATTTTTAACTTTTGTTATGGTATTTATAGTGAAATTGGTGAATTTTTTCCCTATAAACTTTTGTTCTAGTCTTTATAGTGGAATTAATGAGCTTTTTCACTTTTGACTTTTGTTAGGATCTTTATAGTGATATTGATGAGTTTTTTAACTTCGAACTTCTGTTATGCTTTTAATGGTGAAATTTGTGAGTTTTTTAACTTTTAACTTTTGTTATTGTTTTATAGTGAATTTGATGAGTTTTTAGCTTGGAACTTTTGTTATTGTTTTTAAAAAAAAATTGGTGAATTTTTTAACTTTGAAAATTTGTTTTGTTTTTTATAATGAAATGCGTGTGCTTTTTAACTTGGAACTTTTGTTATGGTTTCTACAGTGAAATTGTTAAGTTTTTTTACTTAAACCTTTTGTCATAGTCTTTATAGCGAAATTGGTGATTTTTTTTTTACTTTAAACTTTTGTTATAGTCTTTTTAGTGAAATAGATGAGTTTTTACACTTGAAACCTTTGTTATTCTTTTTCTAGTAAAATTTGTGAGTTTCTTAACTTGGAAGTTTTGTTAGGGTTTTTAGAGTGAAATTTGTGAGTTTTTTTTATCCACTTTCAACTTTTGTTATAGTCTTTATAGTGATATTGGTGAATTTTTTTCACTTTGAACTTTTGTTATAGTCTTTATAGTAAAATTGATGAGTTTTTCCACTTTAAACTTTTGTTATGACCTTTATAGAAAAATTTGTGAGTTTTTTAACTTCGATCCTTTTTTATTCTTTTTACAGTGAAATTTGTGAGTTTTTTAACTTTGAACTTTTGCTATGAATTTTAGAGTGAAATTGGCCAAACTTTACAGTTTTAACTCTTGATATGGTATTTATAGTGAAATTGGTGAGTTTTTTTTAACTTTTATCTTTTGTTATGGTTTTATAGTGAAATTGATAAGGTTTTAACATTTAACTTTTGTTATTGTTTTTAAAGTGAAATTGGTGGGGTTTTTAACTTTGAACTCCGGTTTTGGTTTTTATAGTGGAATACGTGAGTTTTTTAACTTGGAACTTTTGTTGTGGTTTTTATAATAAAATTGTTTAGTTTTTTGACTTGAAACTTTTGTCATGGTCTTTATAATGAAACTGACGAGTTTTTTATTTTGAAACTTTTGTTATGCTCTTTACAGTTAAATTGATGAGTTTTTTTTTTACTTTGAATTTTTGTTATGGTCTTTATAGTGAAATTGATGAGTTTTTTTAACTTGGAACTTTTGTTATACTCTTTCTAGTAAATTGATGAGTTTTTGAATTTTAGTTTTGGTTTTTATAGCAAAATGCATGTGTTTTTTTAACTTGTGACTTTTGTTATGATTTTTACAGTGAAATTGTTGAATTTTTTAGCTTGAAACTTTTGTCATAGTCTTTATAGTGAAATTGGTAAGTTTTTTAATTTGAAACTTTTGTTATGATCTTTATAGTGAAATTAGTGAATTTTTTGTTTGATTGAAATTTATTATGCTATTTATAGTGAAATTGATGAGTTTTTTTAACTTGTAGCATTTTTTTATGTTTTTTCTAGTAAAATTTTTGAGTTTTTTAACTTGGAACTAGGGCTGGAAATGAGTCGAGTCGAGTCGAACTTACCTCAGCTCGGCTCGACTCGTTAAGAATTGTTCGAATTCGAGTTCGAGTTCGAGTTCGACACGAACTTTTTTTTAAGCTCAAACTCGACTCGTTATAAGTTCACGAACAGTTCGGTTCGATTCGTTAGGTTCATCTCATTAGGTTCATCTCACATGGTTCACGAACTTAAAAACTATTTTTTTAAATATATATAAATATATATATATATATATATATATATATATATATATATATATATATATATATATATATATATATATATATATATATATATATATATATATATATATATATATATATATATATATATATATATATATATATATATATATATATATATATATATTAGTATATTTGACATTTTAAATAAATATATATTTTTTAAATAAAATATTAAAATAAAATAAAAGTTATCATATTGAAATTTAACTTTATCTTCGAAATCTACTAATTCAAAACCTACACAACTTTCAAGAGATACATTTGAGAGTCTAATTCAAAAGCTACTAAATTGAAGATTAAATTTGTCTAAGATTTGAAGTAAATATTTAAACCTAATCTTAAAGACAGTATAATTCTTTTCATATGTAATCGAGTTGACTCATGAACCTAACGAGTCGAACTATGTATAGTTCAAGTTCAGCTCATTTAGTTAACGAACTTAATTTTCCGCTCATACTCAACTCATTTGGTTCATGAACCTAGTTCAACGATTTAATTGTCGAGTCGAATTCCGAACTATCTTCGAGTTGGTTTGGTTCATTGCCAGCCCTACTTGGAACCTATTATGTGATTTTTAGAGTGTAATTGGTGAATTTTTTTTTTTTGAATTTTTATTATAGTTTTTATAGTAAAATTGATGAGTTTTTTCATTTTGAATTTTTGTTATGGTATTTATAGTAAAATTTGTGAGTTTTTTAAATTCGAACATTGTTATGCTATTTTGGTGAAATTTTTGAGTTTTTAAATTGAAATTTTTTAAATTGATTTTATTGTGAAATTGATGTGTTTTTATATTTAAACTTTTGATATAGTTTTTATAATAAAATAATTAGTGAATTTTTTTTATGTTTTAAACTTTTATTATGATTTTATATTCCATCTCAACTTTCTCCACACATTTCCGAACACCACCTTGTATGCTAAATGTAACAAACCAAACGAGTGTAAGAAAATGGCTTCACCATTTGGATGGTACGGTCCTCTCATAGATCTCTGCAATGCCTCTCATCACATACGAGAATTCGTTCAACTTCTCGTTTTCGTTCACCGTTCCTTCCCCATTCAGGTTTCTTCCTCATTCTTTCCCTTCCTCACATTCCTCCATTTCTGATTATCATTATTACTGATTAACAGTACAAATCACCCAAATCTGGAAAAGACCTAACGCGAATCGACATTCTAGTCGGGGATGATACGACGCCGTATTTTGGAGTGTCTCTTTTGCAGAGTCAAATGGGGTCAATGGTTTCGGCTGGAGATGTCGCTTTGTTACAGAGTATGTTATTTTGTTCTATCTAGCTGTTATTGGCTTTTGAAATTGATTTGAATGCGATAGGACTGTTGTCGTTTTGATGAAATGTGGCAGATTTCATGATTACTAAATATGGGGGTGTGGTTGAAGCCAAAACCGTTCAGTGGTCTTCACTGTTTTGCTTGGGCCATTCTTTCCACTCACTTATTTCAAAGGGTATGTAACCCTAATTATGTTTTTATTTTATTTTATTTTATTTTATTTTTTCATGTTCTCTTCACTTCAAGAGTAGTATATATTTGTTAGCAAATAAAATTAAGGCACATTTCAAAATTCTGATGTAGACTAGATTAATAAGTCCTCTGAACTGGGTTGTCTCTAAGGGGGTGCAGGGCAGATTAGATTAGAATTTGGTGGCTAAATATGTTATTGTAAAATATGTGTCACACTTTAACTATGACAAAATAGGGCTCTTATTTGATTTCGCAAAGTTGAACCATGATTTACTTACAGAGAGGGTCTTCAAAAACTTAAAAAGACCCTGCCGCTGAACCTGACCATTGTGATAGGTGGTCCACGGTGGACTGGTATTTGAAAATTGTACAAACTTATTATTTTTTCCAAATCAATACCAATTAAGCCACCATTTCAGCTCTAAGTTTGAAGAAGAATGCGAACTTCTAATTTAGAGGTGCCTTGTTGGTCATTGCTAGAGTTTCATGTGATTTGTAAATCAATTTGAAATAATCGTCCACCGTAAGGTGCTCTACAAAGAATTTTTCTAGAAGAAAGGATATATAGTTAACTAAATATTCTCAAACGCTTCAATTTAGGTGCATTCATAGCAACTCGTAGAAGTATCGAAATATCAACAATATAAATTTGATATTTACAATATACTTCCTTGAACAGATGTTGAAGAGATGATAGCAGGTTGTCGAATTGGGACAGCAACAAAGGATAAGTTAAGTAGGGTAATAAAGTGGGTGCGGCAGTCTCGGACCACTATCTGCAACATCAAGTTGCAGTCTACTCAAGTACTCTTTCTATTTGCTTTGTAGTTATTCCTTGTATAGTCTATAAAAATTTAGAGTCTGGGTTTACATTGTTTCATTATAGATTTTCGATCATTCATGCCTTATCAACGTGCTCAAATATTGTTATGATTATGATTGCATTGATTTTCTCTTCTTCGATCACATTATCCCGTTTTGGTAATGTTCAAAGTTGATCTAGTGCATCTTTAGTCATGCTTGCTGTTTAGGGAATGCATTTGGGTGATTTTTTTCATTTTGAAAAAAAAGTGTGTACCAGCAATGTTGTTTTATCATTGTTCATTAGCATATTAAGCAAGTGCTAAGTGAGCTTGAGCTTCAGGGATCTCCTAGCTCATTTATTGTTGAGGAAAGTATTAGAAATTCAAGGAAGATGCTATAAGAATGATAACCATCATAAAAAGGTTTTTGTTTTATATGTCAACTTATCATGTGAATGATGAATAAAGATGTTTAGAGAGTAGAAACATATCTGAATGCATAAAGAATATGAATAATAAAATGACGGAGTTGTGGAGTTTGATATTCCAAAATTTGCATGCATAGTTCTTATCACTCTAAAAGGGATTCTTTAGATATCAAGTAATACATAATTAATTACATATGTAGGCTCGCATGTTAAATAAATATGCAATAGAAAGCACTTATAGATAAGTGCAATCTCAATATTCTTAATGAGTGTACCAAGGTTAGTGGTGCAAATGTGAGAGTAACAACTCTGAAGTACAATTTAAGGACGTTAGACTCATTAGCCTAAAGTAGTTGAAGAATCTAGAGGGCTTGTGCAGTGGAATTGACCTCGGTACACAGTTGATCAAGGACGACTCTAGTCTTCTATTAGTCATAAAATAGACTTTTTGAGGCTTAGAATGAGAAGAGTTCAGCGCATATGAAGTCATATATGACTGTGACAAGGAAACGATCTTATCAACATGAGTCTGTAACACTCTTTGATCTTAGCCTTATATTTGCCACCCATAACTGTGACTACGAGAAGTCAGGCCAACATGATCAGGCAATCAAATCACTCAAATAGACGAATATTTTCTGGACTCTTATTAGTACAAATAGGGAGTAAACCCTGATTGCTTTACAAATTTCACTAAATCCCCTGCAAAAATGCTCTATCTCACTTAGACATTTGAGTGTCTTTGTAAGCACGTCTTCCACCAGAGCAGTGATGCGGGATCCAATCAGCTAGGAGGTCAACTTACCGAGTTCCATACAGGAGCAAAGAGTGTCTCACTAAAAAAAGTGAGAAGATATCTTGGGAGTTTGGAAAAATTATCGTTAACACTTAACACACTACTTCTTATGGTTGTAGTTACGCTATTAGATTTATGGTGTTATAAGTTGCTTATATCACACTATTATACTGTTCTGAGGAAGTTAGGATATCTGTTGTTTGAAGATTTACGTGATAGCATAGGTGTATTTAGAAGAGATAAAGTAAGTACAAGTTTCTAATCTGTATACTTGTAAATCATGTCTTAAATTTGAGTAGTGAGGTTGTGTCCTTGTGTACACTTATTGTTGTGAAATATTAGATACCTTTTGTGTTCCTAATTGTGTAAGCTAGCAAATCCTTTTATTTTAATGTAGAATGTTAACATCCATTTCACCTATCTGGTTAATTGGTTTTCAATTTTTCATCAATAAGCCGATTTCCGTCACTTTCAAACACTACTCTGATCAATATGATTTTATATGTACTGTGTGTTTTAGATAGACTAATGCATCCATGTAATGTACACAGAAAATAGAGTACCTGCCTAGAAACTGGACAGTTCTTGATGAGAGAGTGCCTAAGGACTGCTGTTCACTTATTGAAGTCTCTCAGCTAACAACATCGTGCAAGACTATCGTCCTAGCATCGATTTGTGAAATTGTTCCATTACGTAACGCCAAGACTTCAGTTGATACTGTGAAAGAGAAGATTTCCCTTAGTAGGAGAGTTTGCAAAGCTGAGGATAATAACTTGGTGGAAGATCTCTTATGCACTGGCTGCCAGCTATGCGGTTCACCCTTAGGTTCAGAGTATGACTTTAGATGATAACTTAAGCCTTGTTATGCCTTCCATTAGTATTATGATCAGTGATAATTCTTTCCTTTTTTCAGGTCTGAGCAAAATGCTTTTCCACTAGTTTGTTCGAAAAGTTCAAGCCGCCTTCATGCAGTATGCTCGATATATAGGCCTTTCTTGGTAAATATAGATGCATACCTTTTTGTTCACGCTAGTTTCTTAATGAGATCATATTCTAACATTTATTTGACTTGTGAAGATTAATTTATGTGCAATTTCTTGGACATTCTTAACATTTCTTATTGATGCAATTTTTCGCAGCTATATGTGTGGGATGAGTCGTATTTCATGCCAGTTCTGGTCAAGAACAAGGCTGCAGAAATCTTATTTGGAAACATGAAGGCTGAATATGTCTATTCGAGTTTTAGAGAGCAAAAGCTTAATAAAAATCCGGATCCAAAAAATATTTCCAAGGAAAAAGATGCCGATGAAAGACTTTCTAATAACCCGAGACTTTCTCGAGAAGGACTTCCCTGTGCCAGTTCATTAGAGGAGGGTAAGAGCTTGCAATGGGAGGAAAAGCATCTTGGTACTAAACCATTCAACTTCTATCATGTCTGGTTAATTATTTTAAAATTATTGCTGAAACAAGGAAAGAACAGTCCTCTAAAACTTGAGATCCTTGTTGAGCCCAACATAGACGTTGAAAATGGAAAATTTGAAATGGTTTCTGCAACATTGCCCTGTTTTGGCACCAAGTGACAACATTTACATTTCCCACTTTGCACCTTCCAATTTCCAACCGCAAAATCCCAAATATTATTGCTGAGTCCCTTACACTTAAATATGAGATCAATCTCGTTATAACCATTATGAGTACACCACACAAATTTACCATTTACAATTGATAAAATTATAATAGTACAACTTTTAACATCATCCTCTAAATAATTAGTTTGTGTTGGCATACAATTTTCAAAGAAATGTGAAGAGCTAAGGCCACAAACTCTGGTGTTCAAAAAACCTAATTTTAGTGAATTGTTATTTGAGTTTTCACTTAACGTGCACACTCTTCCAAAATTAGTCAATATAAACTTAGTACCTCAGTGTGTGTTTGGTTCAATGGTGAAAAAATTGATTTTGAATGAATTTATTATGTAAAATTTATTTTAACTAAAATTAAGTTGAATGTAATGTGATTTATGTTCGAATAAATTTACGTAGAAATGAGTTAAATAATAAATTTTAATGTGGAAAATCACGTATAAATTTAAAAGTTATAGATTTTAGTTTCAAATAAAATTAATTTTAGAGACAAAATCAATTCTACTTTAAAGAACCATACACTTCAAAATCATTTCTAAAAAATTGCTTTGGTGGTCTCTTCCAAAAGCTAAACCTAGTTTCACTGTCAAAAGATTTTAAATTGATTACGAATACATAAAATTTAACATGTTTTTGCTCTCAACTAGAACAATTATAAAGATAGTGTATATGGGTCTCTTCCACGTGTTTTAAAGAGAGACTTTCACCTCTCTCTAAACTTAGTGTGTTTTTTCGTCGTTTCTTCTATCTAGGATTAGACAGTGGTTTTCTCTCCCAGTTTTCTCCACTGGTTTTTCTCTAAATCATTTTTATTTCCTTTACTTTAATAGAAGTCTCTTGCTTGGTTCCCGCTTTCGATTTTTTTGTGGAAGAGGTTTGTGATGAAGAGGTTTTTCAACGAACCATAGTGGGAAAATTGTGGACGGATAACAACTTTAACACTCGAGTCTTTACTTCTATGATGATAAGAGCGTGGAAGCTCAAGAACTCTATAGAAACACAAAAGCTGAGTAAGAACATGTTCTTTTTCCGTTTTGCAACCAAAAGAGATATTGAAAATGTCCTCCGAAGTGGACCTTGGAGCTTTGATGAGAATTTGTTAGTCCTAGCTCGAGAAATGGACCAAAAGGAAGCACACATAAGCGGTAGATTCCTCAGAATAAAAGTCACAATGGATCTCAAACAACCGTTGAAGATGGGTGCCATGGTTCGGTTTAAGGAAAGAAATTCAATAGTTCACCTACCTTTTGTTTTGTGTGTGGGAGGATTGGTCACCAATTAAAAGACTGCGAGGCGATAGGGGAGTTGGGTGAAGAGGGATTTGAAGACCTAGACGAACAAGATTTATCCTTTGGCTTGTGGCTCAGAGCGTCTCCTTTGCCAAAGTCGATCGAGGAACCAAGAAAGAAAGATTCCAGCTCTAGTAACTGCTGTAAAATTTTGTTCAATACTCTACTAGCCAGAGCAGATGAGAGAACTTAGCCATGGAGAAAGAAGGTACAGAGGTGGAAGTGAAGCAACTAAAGGGAAGTCTATCATGGAAAAAGGAAATCCAAGAGAGAAAGGTAGTAACTCAAAAAAAAATACTCTCTTGGAAATAGAGGCGGTGGCAGAGTCTTTTAGAGCAGTTGGTATCTCTAACAAAGATAAAGAAGGTGTTGTTATTTCAAAGGATATCACTTCTAAAAGGAGAAAATGGACAAGGAGGAAAGGGGTTAGGAAGGCAGAATTCAATCAAGCTACTAAAATGAAACTTGAAATCGGGAAGAGACAATTGGTGGATGTCATGATTACTGATGGAACAATGGATGATACGATGAGAAACGATAAGAAAAGAAAGCAAATTAAGAAGGGAGGTGTGGCACAAACTGAACTAAAGGTGGTGTTAGAAGACCAACACTGCCTAGCCCAATGAAAATTGTAAGTTGGAACTGCAGGGGATTGGAGAGTCCTTGTGCAGTTCGAACCTTGTTGCCTTGTTGAGGCTCTGCCGTCTAGAACACCCTGATACGATGTTATTGATAGAGACTCGCCTAAGTTTAGAGGAAGGTACAATGATTAAAGATAAGTCCAATTTTGATTGTTGTCAGGTTGCGAGGTGTGTTGGTGAGGGTAAGAGAATAGCCGGGGGCCTCATGTTATTCTAGATGGAGGCTATGAGGGTTGACATTCTTACCTTTTCAAATAATCACATAGAAGGCCTAGTGGAAGATGCGAGGGACAACCAAAAGTGGTTCTTCAATGGGGGTGTACGACTATCCAGAGGAGATAAACAAGAAGAAAACTTGGCAGTTGCAGGAAGATGTTGTAAGGAATGGGGGGAGAAGAGGTGGCTTGCTTTGGAGATTTTAATGACATCTTTACCAAAGAGGATAAAATTGGTGGTGCAGGGAGATCGCCTTCTAAAATGTCTTGGGGCCGTTAATTCCTGGACATTTGTGGATTACATGATCTTGGATTTGTTGGTTATCCATTTATGTGGTCTAATCGTAGGCAGGGGGAGATAATATATAATGTAGATTGGATAGAGCGTTTGCCTTACCTAGCTTTATTCACAGGTTCCTTCATACCAAGGTTACTCACCTATCCATACGTGGTTTTGACCATGTTGCAATTTGTATTGACCTTGAGGATGATTTGGATGATAACAAGAAGAAACAAGTGTTCATCTTCGGGTTTGAGGAAATTTGGACAAGGGATGAAAGATGTGAAAGGCTTGTGAGACAACTATGGAATGGTAATGGGGTTCAGGGGTACCATAAACTATGCGCCATGAAAGGTCTAGATGAACACTTCAAGGAATATATACTAGGGTATGTTATGAAGGAGCTGGGGAGAATCAAAGGCCTGTTAAAAGAGGAGGTAAGGTGGCCAGTAAGAGATGAAAAAGTAAAGACCTACAAAGCTTTGGAGGCTCATCATAGCAAACTGTTGCAGGTGGAGGAAGTCATTTGGAGACAAAGAAGTAGAGCCTTATGGCTCAACCATGAAGGTCGAAAATTAAAACTTTTTCATGGTAAAGCTGATCAAAGGAGGAAAACAAACTTTATCAAGAAACTCAGAGATGGAAATTGTGTTTGGTGGAGGGGAAACGAGAACTGTGAGAGAGTCCTGAGAAATTATTTTATTGAAGTTTTTTCTACTTCAAACCTTTATAATATCCAAGACACTTGTGAGGTGGTTCTTGGGAAACTCAATGTGGAGCAAGTCAGGCAGTATGAAGGAAGGTTCACTGCTCTAGAGGTCAAGGAGGCTTTTTATCAGATGCACCTGTCGCACCTCGAAAATTCATTCGAAAACACGACCCTCGCGCGAAAGGCGCGGAAATGCGATTCGAAAGAGTCGCCACCGAACTTTATTATCCCGAATAAACGGGAGACGAAAATATCAAGAAAACCTCTTAAAAACAAAAGGAACACGGCCGTCGCAACCTGATATTCATGGGTTCGGGAGTCGGTTACGCAAGGGGAAGGTATTAGCACCCCTCACGTCCGTTGTACTCAACGAGAACCTCTTAATTTGGATTGTGATGAAAGTTAGCTAAGCTTAATTCTTCTCTTCTCGATACTAAATACTAAAACGATACTATAAAAAATAGAAACGATAAGGGGAAAAAGGATGGTTATAGGATAGGGTGCTCGCCAAGGATTGGGGCCCTTGTGCCTACGTATGCTCATTCGGACGAGAATGAGAAATCAAAGCATCGTAGTTCGACTACGGGAAAGGATGTGGGAAACGGAAGATGGAGGGGATTGTGCTCGCCAAGATCATCACAATTTTGTGCCTACGTATCTTGCATTCAAGAATGAATGAAGAATCAGAGCATCCGTAGTTCGTGGTAACGACCACGAAAAGAAACGGGGTTGAATTGAATTGAAGGTGGGTAAGGATGACGATTACTCGAAGCTTAAGAAAGACTTCTCAGACCCAAGTAATCAGGAAAGCGAGTCAAAGACTTGACTATCTCTCTTTTTTATCTCGGGAGGAATTGTGTTTAAAAGGGTGAGGTTGATCAGATGACGACTACTTGAAGCTTAAGAAAGACTTCTCGAACCCAAGTAATCGGAAGAGCGAACCAAAGACTTGGAACTATCTCTTTTTCATCACGAAAGGAAAGTTGTTTGAGTGGTATCTGAAAGGATGAGTAGTTAGACAATGTTGAGTTGTTAATGTTGTTTAGAGGCCCCAACTGCTCACACACGAATAAGATAACTCGCATCCAAACAACCGAAAGCAAGATCAAAGACTTGAACCCACTCTTTACACCTTGAAAAGAATTAAATAGTTATTAATTGATTGATAGTTTGTTATGAAAAATCCGCTTGACGTTGGATCAAGGGTTTGACTTATTATCGCGTGCAAAACGTGTGGGAATGGAAATGGTTTGAGAAATGGCTCGACGACGAGTCGAGGGTTTGGATTGAAAATGGAACCGACTTGACTTACGCATCAAGGGTCTAGGTGTGAGAAACGATACTAGTCCCTGAGGGTGCCCCCAATATCGAAACCACGGTGAAGTGTGTGCAATAGGTTGATGGCGAATGTGTATGAGCACTCGACTTACAAGGGGTGTTTGAAAATGGCTCGATGATGAATCGAGAATTAGTTTGAAAACAGTTTGATCTATGCTAGTCCCTATGGATGCTCCTAGAAGATAAACTACAATCAAAGAAATACGAAACATACATCGGAATGGGAGAGGGGTACATGTAATTTACACGGGATTACACGAAATAAAGGGGTCTCATTGTCAGGTAGCCCAAGAGAAAGCCGTGTGTGCGCAATGTGTCCTAAACTACGCCTTGAGCAAACTCGGGCACAACTCCATGTTAGGGTTCCTGCAAATGTTCAATGATCCAACAATCCACCAATTTGGCTTTTAGCGTTTCGATAATTATTACATGTTTTCGAATATGGGTGAATTAGAATGATGAATA